CTGAGGAAGTTAACCTCTCTGGACTGCAGTCTCATCTTTGTAGGATGACGATAACAGTAGCACCTATGTGGGCTGGGTGCTGTGGCACACACCTAAAATCCTGGCGGGAGGATCAAAAGTTCAAGGTCAGCCTGGGCAACTTAGACTTTGTTTCAAAATAAAAAATGAGAATGGCTGGGGATGTAGCTCAGTGGCAAAGTGCCTTGGATTCAATCCCCTGTACTACAAAAACAAAAATGCACCTATGTTATATACTTGTGAAGACTAAATTAGCTAATTTATAGGTAAAGCATAATAGTGCCAGCACAAAGCAGGTGCTGTAGATCTATATTGCATGTTTATCTATAATACACACATTATCTAATATATTCTATACAATAAATAACATGTCATTTAAATATGTACACCACTGTAAGAGCAAACTTTGCTGATCCAGCTAGGGAGGGTATAGTAAACAGACTATGAAGTTGATCTGTTTCTGGAGAGACCCAGCAAATCTGCAGAGTAGAGTTGAATCTTCCCTCTTTGTGATCAATTACTGAAGTGTTTTGACTTCTGCTACCTTCTCTTTGCTCTGCTTACTGGTACTTGCCCATTCATTTGGCACATCCATTATTGGAGGCCAAATRCTGTCTTAACTATAGGAACAACCCAATCCTTCTTTCTGGTTGGTCAGTGAGTATAGGGCAGGGGATACATGGTCACTTTAGCATCATGCTGACTGTGGGACTTATAGAGGCAGGATAAGACACAATCCTGACTTTCAGAGAGCTTTCAGTCAAACTCTAGGATCAGAATGAACTTTCATGAAATATTCAAGAGCAAATCTCACTTGGTTAAAGAGATTAGTTAGTCTATCCACTGTTTTGCGTTTGTTTCCAAGGAATAAATTAGTACTATCTGAAAGAATAAACCAGACAAAAGCCAGAGAATGCTTCTGCACCAAGGATAGTCAAGACCAGTGCTGAAGATTATGGATTCACACCAACTTAGCCCTTACCTTGCCCCAGAGAGGAAGAAGATCCAAGAGGGAATATATTGGCTTGTTTATAGGAACAAAGGAAGTTCATATTTACCTGGGAACTACTGTGATCAGTGCACACGGCTAAAAGTGGATTTATTATTTAATCATCATAGCCACATAGGAAAGGTGGCATTAACCCATTTTTTTTTAATGGTGGGAGAACTAGGGCTCTGTGATAATATGTAACATTTCAAAGTATCGTAGCTAAGAAGTTTGCAGAACTGGAAATTTTAACCAAAGGCAGCATAACTAAAAACTTTTCCACTTTTGTAAGAAAGGGACCCTGGCTACTGTTTTTCTTGGTTCATTTTTGGATGAATTTAGCAGGAAAACATTCATGTTCAACCCCTTTCCTCTCTCTCCCACCCCAATAAAAGCAAAAGCTAACTACCATTGGCTACCACATTCTCCTCGGGGACCAGTACAGAAAACAGTGATGTTATCAGCAAAAGCCTAATTATACTACCCAGGGAAAATAAGAACCCTCCCAAACAGGCAGATCCAAGCCAAGCAAAGCTCTGGGAGAAATTCCTAGGACATTCAGCGAGAGCAACCTAAAAGAGCTTTTGAGCAAAAAAGAAGCCAAATGAAAACACTTGGTGTTAGCCCTAGGCCTGTAAACAGCACCTGAGTTGCAGAGCTAGGGCACCATGCTTGGAGAGGTAGCCAAGCTCAGCTGGGCTCTGCTGTTGTAACAAATTAACCCTGAAATCTCAGTGGCTTCCCACCACAAGGTTTCATTTCCTCCTCAACTTACACACCCAGGAGGGTCATTATTGGGGAACTGGATTTCACCTAGTTACCTGGGGATCTGGCTGGCAGAAGACATGATGTTTTGTTGCTCCATCTGGATCATGAGACCTCCAAGGTGGAGAGAGAGGCATCCTGGGTTCAATAGTGACTCCCAGACAAATTCTTGTCTGTCTGGAACCTCAAATGTAGACTTATTTGGAAATAGGGTCTTTATACATAGAATTACAAAAGGATCTTGAGATGAAATCATTCTGGATTTAGAGTAGGCCCTAAATCTAATAGCTGGTGTCTTTATTGGAGAAAGGGGAGGGAGGCTTTGACACAGATACACAAGGGCAGGTGAAGACAGAGTAGAGATTGAAGTTATACTGCCACTCATGACAAGGAATGCCAGGATCCACCAGGAACTGAAGGATTCTCCCTCTTGAGCCCTTGGAGGGAATATGGCCTTGTTCACATCGGACTTTGGATTTCTGGTATCCATAAAAGTGAGAGAATAAATTCCTGTTGTTCAGGGCTACCTGCACCAAGTTTAAAGATTTTCACTAAGATATTTTTAAGAGCCAGGCTTGGGAATGTCTTAAATCTTTTTTTTTTTTTTTGTCTGTATTGACCAGAAACCCACATTGTTTTAAATGACAATGACATAGGATTTAGTGAACACATATCATGGTTGTGGCTGCACCTGTACWGCAGCTACAGTACAGGGAGCAAGGGGTAGAGGCTTGGAATAGAGGCCCACTCACTTTGAGAGATGCTTTCAGGAGCCACCAGGCAGACAGACAGTCAAAGAAAGACAGCATCAGGCTTGTGTCCACAAGGGAAGGCAGAGAGCTGGAGGGCACAGCTCTGAAAGYGCAAGTGGGCCATCTGTGACTGGCACCAGAGTCCATAGAAACCAAACAGTAGGTCCAAGCAGCTGAGCAGGCACCTTCACTATCACATCAGGTGTGAAGTGCAGGTCCCAGATCTGGCACGATGCCTTAGGTACCAGTGCAGGGGTTGAGTCTCACCCCTGTGGAGCAGCTGCTCACATACTGCCAAGAGCCAGGGAGCATCCTTTCCCACGGCCCAGAGGTCTCTTGACAGAGAGACTTTTTCATCTCTGTGACTCCAATTTCTAGCACAGAGTAGACACCCTGGATGTGTCCAGCCTTTCATGACAGTGACGTTTCTGAACCAGGAGCTATATGACAGCAGCTTCAAGTTCATGCTCCCCACTGCCTAGAGGACCGTGTGTTGAATCAATAGTCTGACATGAACTTCCCTTGTCCCTCCAGGAGCATGGATCTCTCAGGCCTCCGTGCCTTCATGCCTGGCACTCCTTCCCTGCAGTGCCACCTCTTCCTTTTGACTCTGGGTGAGGACTTGCTCTAACACCATTGCAGTAAATCTTCCCCTACCTCCCCAGGTAGTCATGCCCTTCCTTGTTGGCCTGTCATTGTCCTGTGTACTATGTAATACAATATGGAAACCACCTCTTTGTCTCTTTGCTTAACTGGACTGATGTTGCGTTTCTCTTTCTTCCTTGTCCGGATGCCTGCTTCACAATAACCTCTGATAAATTTTTCTTATGGGAAAAGTATCAGTTGCAGAAGCAAGTAAGAGTTCTAAGAAATGTAGATGATTTTATGATTATTGATTAATTGGTTATTGATTTAGTGTTCACCATGTGAAATATAGATGGGAGAAACAAATAAGGAAAAAGATCAAAATGGATTGGAGTATCCTGTTTGTGGAGCACAATAGTAACCACAGTGAACCTTTCTATATCGATTGAAAATGTATAAAGTGCTTTAATGTCAACATTATCTCATTTGTTCCCATTGTAGCACAGTGAGGAAGTAGGGCAGTAATTGTACATCATTTTTCTCGTACCCCCTCATGGACTCTTTTAATATAAACCAGTGAGCAGAGATGAGCTAAGAAAAGTAGGGGAGGAGGATTTAGATAAAGGAAACTTGCTTTGTATTTTTTAATATCTACAGACAACCCTACAAAGTAGATGGACTCATCCTATTTTGCAGGTGGGATAATAGGGAATTGGGAGGTAATGTCTACATAGATCTTAGTTAATATGTAGCAGAGATTTTATTCAAATACAGGTTTTGTTTTCTTTCTTTTCTTTTTTTTATTTTTTAGAATTGGGGATTAAACTTAGGGGCATCTACACACTGAGCCACATCCCCAGCCCTTTTTGGTATTTTATTTAGAGACAGAGTCTCATTGAGTTGCTTAGGGCCTCCATAAGTTGCTGAAGTTGGCTTTGAACTCACATTCCTCCTGCCTCAGCCTCCCAAGCCTCTGGGATTATAGGTGTGTGCCACYACACCCGGCCAAATGTGGGTTTTCTGTCCTTCTGAAGTCCTATAGTTTTCCTCTACTCTGCTGCCTAGCTCACTCCTGTGGGGCCCTGGAGTGACAGGAGAGAAGATTCTGGTGGAACCTCCACTGTCCCTGCCTATTTCACTGTGGGGACTTTGTTGGAGGCTTGGAACTGCTGTTTTTCTTGGATATCCTCTCCCTTGTGAAGCATGCTTGTAAGACTAGCACATTGCACCTCTGCAGGATTTGAAAGGAATGGTTGATGACCTGCTGGGGTATTTTCACTTTGTTCCTGGAAATGATTAATCTTGAGGCTTTGTGATGGCTCTTGTCACAAATAGCCTTCCTTAATCCATAATTTCCCCACCTCCCTTTAAGGTAATATTTTGCATTTAAGAAATAAAAACAAGCAACATAATCCCATTGTGAAGGTATGTGTATATTATATATATATGATGCTGATCAAGAACTAAATGCACCTGAAATGGATTAGAAAAATTGCCTTTAAAAAAAAAAAAAGCTCAGTTTTTCTTTTTTGCTCTGTTTCTATTAATCTCTGCCTCATTGTTTTTTGTTTCTTTTTTTTTTTTTCTATTTAGCAGATGGGGATAAAGTCTTCCTGTTTTTTTTTTTTTTTTTTAAAGGGTGAGTCTTCAGGAGCTCCTTCTATTTGTATTTAGTCACCCAAGGTCCTGGCCATTCCTTTGTGCCTGAGGTCTGCTGGGATGTACAGTTCAGGATGGAGAAGATTCCCTAGGGTTGAGAACTCATGCTCCTCGGCTCTTTTTCTTGTAGTCCACAGGGCCTTTGCAGTTCCCAGTAGGGTCAAGGTAGAGCAAGGGCACTTTTATGAGGGCTGGGGCGAAACGACAAACAGCTCTCCTTTGATAACTGCGAGGAAGGAGGATCTGGCTGAGACCACAGCGCTCACTTGTTGAGGATCTYTAGCCAGCGCTGCTTGCGTGCTTTTCATTTTATTCTTTCTCCCCTTGCCCCAGAGCCATGGCGTACCTGCTGTTGCTCTCATGCCTCTTGCCAACAGTGGCATCTGCTCAGTGTAGCCATCAAGAATTTGAATGTCAATATCTTTGCCTTGAAATGAATGGAAAAGTATTTGTCACTCAGCGGCAATCATTCTTCAAATAAAAGGTTAGCCAGACAGGGCCCTTAATCAAAGAGTCGGTCTTTTCTGTCAGCAGTGCCTTTTAAATAGCAATGATGAAGGCTGGCTGTCAGGGTAGGACTTGATGAGCGAGATGATTGATCTGCATAAATCATTTTCTTTTAACATTGTCAGTGAAGAGTAAATTGGTGGGACATTTTGGGTATTAGCTGTGTTGAAATTAATATGCGGTATCCTAGGTGTGTCCTCGCTCACACAGTCCTCGTAAAAGAAGGTAGAAATTAAAGGGAGGCTTTTGGGCGTGCATTGTTCTAACAAGAAAGTTGCTCCATTCTTGCTGCTGTGGTCATCATCTTGCACGCTAAATTTGGAAGTTGAGTGTGTAGCACATTTTACAAGCTCCGAAAGGAATCTAGTTAATTTGGGAATTAGCTAGAGTCAGTAGCATTTAACAACCAGTAAATCTGTAAAGACTCATTGCTCAGAGGGAGGAAAAAAAAAAAAACAAACATAAGAATAGTTTCTGGTTTTAAAGAGTATGGTATCTGTTACCCAGCACGCTGAGCTGCTGTAGCAACAGCCTCAGCTTCAGGTCAGGTTTTGGTGTAAACCTACATGCCATCACTTGTAGGTGATCCTCCCTGACCAGGATATAAATATGGACCTTTTTGAGTTTGTTTCTTTTCTCTAAAAATGAGATTCCACAAATTACCTTTGGTGGATCTGTTTCTATAATTAAAGAGAAGGATGAAGTCGAAAGCTTGGAGCATATCACCCGACATGTGGCCAGCAAGTGTTAATTTCTTCACTTTTTTTTAGTCAAGCAAAATGCCTAATACCTAGAACACCAGCTAAGATGTTAATGTCAAGAACATGCCACGTGGTCAAAGTAAACAAATTGCCCATTTCATGTCATGCCGGTGCATGCTGGGATATCTTGTGGCCATTTTTATATCAAAAGCATATTTTGAGAGGGCAGAAGAAATATCTAATTGCCAAATACTAGGAATAAGGAATGAGATGAAAGGAACTGGGGACAAATGTGTCCAAGAACACTCAGTTTTCCTTAATGTTACTCTCTAGATTGCACGTGCGGGTTCATCTTATTCACCTGGGGAATAAACACACAAAGCCTGTACAGGACAGTGTTGGGATGAAAAGCAGGATTGATGGAGCCAAATTGCTAAGTACAGATCACAAGACTTCCACTTAATTGCTGTGTGACTGCAGGCAGCATAGTTAATTGCCTTCCTGAGCCGCCTTTTCCTCACTTCTTTAGAGGGGGTAGCAATAGTACTTTTCTTAGAATGAAGTTAGGATGATGGAGTTAATATAGAAAGACCAAAGCAAGTAAAAGAGTACCTTGTGTATACATGTTAACTATGATTACTAGGAATAATTGATTGGTGGATTAGGAAAGGTAAATAATGCTGAAATTCAAGTGGGCCAGATGTATCAAAGGAAGAAGCATGTTTAGATACAGTAGTGCATGATGATGGTATACTAGAGTGAAATGTTGTTTTCATTTTTGGAGAAACTTTCCTGCTGGAGGAATTTTGAGCCAGGGTTTCTAAGACTTCCATACTGTAGCTAGACAGTTACTGTTGTTGCTTCCCATCTCCACCCTCTGATTGCTAGAGGAGTGAGATGGTCTTGGGGACAAAGCTGATTCAGAAGAGCCTTATATTTTTATTACTTTATTAAAATTTTTCTTTATTAAATAACCCATTGAAAAGTAGGTTTCATGGTATAGTCTGGCAAATAGTTTTTTCTTGCTGGGCTTAAAGGCAAATGTTGAAGGAATACTGCTTAGCTACGTTCTCCAAGTGCCTCATGAATGATAAAGTCCACATGATCTCTGTTTATGGGCACATGGCATGGCTCTGCAGAAGTCTCTGGACACATATGTGGCATGCACTTGTGTAAATCAATATTGTGGGGCGAGTATCTCTGTTTCTTGGGGGTTTGAGTTATCATTATTCTTGAAGTGTTTTAGTCAGCTTTTTCATTGCTGTGACCAAAATACCTGATAAGAACAATTTTGAGGAGGAAAAATTTATTTGACTCATAGCTCATGGTTTCAGAGGTTCAGTCCAGGAGCAGCCAAATCCATAGCTCTGGGTCAAAGGTAAGGCAGAAGAACATGATGGTGGAAGGGCAAGGAGAAGGAAAGCAGCTCAGGACATTGTAATAGGAAGCAGAGAGAGACCTCTGCTCACCAGGGACAAAATATATACCCCAAAGGCAAGTCCAGTGACCTATCTTCTCTAGCCATGTCCTAACTGCCTACAGTTACAACCCATATCAGTAGACTGATTCACGGATTTGGTTACAATTCCATAATCTAACCACTTCACCTCTGAACATTCTTGCATTGTTTCACACATGAGATTTTGGGGGACACCTCATATCCAAACCTCAACATGAAAATTTGCACTGAATTTTTTGTTTTGTTTTGTTTTGCACTGAGTATTTTTAGCTGAGTGTATTAGTTGTATTTGTGCCTCCTCCTTCTCTATGCTCTGAATTTATCTCATCCTGAGCTTTTGGTTTCCTTCTGCATATTGATAGAAATTGCCCTAGGACATTTCCAGAGACATTTTCACCAACACTGATGATTTTGTAGAAGTCCTGAAAGGGATCTGGAGTCAGCAACGTTCTTGCTGCTCTCAGGTGAGGCAGCACAGGTGAGTCATGATCTCAYCAGTCTCCCCTTATGAGTAATGCTAGTTAAACAATAATCGTGGCCCCTGTGTTGCTTTTTGGAAGAGACTTTGAGACTATCCTGTGTCGTCTCCAGGGGCTTGATAGTTACATTTGGAAATTTCTAGAAAGCATTCTCTACTGCTCTGGCCTGCAGGGCTTTTGGGCTGCAGAAGTGATATTGTCCCATTGGATTCCTTCCTGATTCTGCGGTTATTAGACAAAGCTTAGCCTATGTTATCTCACTGGCTACTTAATGGAGTTCAGCCGTATTGGGTGTGGTATTCTGCTCAAGATTAATTTCAGGTAATGAAGATCTAAAACAAGGTGTTTAAGGGCCTCTCTAATGTTTCATTTTTAGCAATCTATCAGAATGATAGATACTTAGCCTTCTTTATTGGATATGAAACATTTACTTAAAGCCAGAGTCACTTATGTTTTAAATACCAATGCCTCTTACATAGTTATTGCTGTAAGCATCTTTGACCCCTGCCCTCAATTTCATCAAGCATTGTAAAAAATATGCCACCACCTCCGAGAGGACTCATGCCATGGACTTACGTTGTTGTCTGGCACCTTGGACAACTGAACAACCCTAGCCTACCATTGCATGGGTCTTTGCAGACAGTAAGCAAGATCCACAAACAAATATTTATTGGGCATACACTATGTTCAAGGCACCATTGATGTCGTGAGAGTTGGAAGACTCAGGAGGCCAAAGTGGGCTCAACTGTGTGGGAAATGCTACAGGAAAGATGTCTTATCCCAAAGAATGGTCTCATTACTTCTAAGCTAGTTATTACTCCCCCAACTCCAGTTATATACGGAAAGATCTAGGCATTTCCCCATATCAGGCAGTTTGAGAAACATGGATTTTTCATTCAGTTCCAATGAGCAGGAGTTGTCTAATAGTTTTCCTCCAGGTGCTCCCCTGTTGTTCAGGAGTCAGTAGTTTGTTAGTTGAGGTTCTAGAACCTGATTGGTATCCATCTACTATTTGTTGATGAATTTATGAATGAACAGATGAGCAATTTCTACTCTCCTTCTCAACATGATAATCCATGATTGCTCAGGATTATCCTTTCCTTCTCCCAGTTTACTTCTCTTTTTTACTTTTACTGTTCATTGAGAATATGTTTGATTATCACTAATTATTTGCTGAAATACATTCTTCCTAATTTTTTTTTTTCTGGCTCAAATGTTATCTGTCAAGACTCGGCAGGGGACCCATATCTTCCTGCCCCTGATCTCTGTGCAGGTTTTCCTCTGCACTTTGCCTTTTCTCTGAAGTCATAACCATCAAGGTTTGAATGTGCATATGAACATAGATGGAGGTTCTTTATATGTTTTGAACTATGGGCAACTCATTTTCCGTGTAGGTTCTGGCATCTTTAGAACAGGGATCTGTCCTTCTTATCTCTTCCATAATACCCACCCTCCCCTTGGCCACACAGGATGTACTAAAAGCCTAGTGACTTGACATGGTCTTAAAAAAATGAATCCTAAATGGATTCGGCAGTTATTTTGTGTAAGACACGGCAGAAGAATCACACAATGATTGACTTTTCAGTCTGTCACCGTCACTGTAATCTTTGTGACCACCTGAGGGAAGGTGATCATGAAGACCCCGTTAGATTTCTATCTGCTGTCCCTGAGGTCTTCCTTAACCACCAGGTTACTATTGGCAGCCCTCTCTCATAGGACATTGGGATCAGGAGGCTTGAGTAGGTTCTATACTTTCTGATACAACCCCATGCCTGGTGGCTCAATATTCTGCTTCTTTGTTACCATCTCTGGGTCCCCTTCATGGGGACACCTTAATGGGGATCCCTTGATGTTGGAGCTGGAGATGGCATCTTGCTACCTTTACTCCCTATTTACATGCTTCCTGGGAACTTTTCTGAGTGGGGTTCACCAGCCTGTAAATACATCCTGTGCTTTCCCCCCATTACCTGCAGGATATTTCTCCTGAGGCTTACCTTAGGAGGCCTTCCAATCTTACTTGGCCAAAAATCTTTTTGGCAATTGATGGACTTGATTGGATTCCATCTGTCCCTTTCATTTTCAGGATGTGCCCACATTATTGATTTGTGTGCCAGGTCTGTGATTTCCCTGGGTCTCCCCGCCCTTGCTCCCCTTCACCATGTGTGGATACTGTGGTCAGGATGGGCAACCTGGAAACATTGATCAAGGGCCTAGATACTTGACCCTTTAAAACATTTTTTTTTAAATTTACTTTTATTTGAAAATAAGATTATAATAAAAATTTTCATTATATGAGTAATAGAGATGTGATAGCCAGGTTTGAAAGTCTCTGCATTAG